CGACGNGNGNGGAGTGAGCGNGCNGGCGTCGTGGTGCGTGCGANGGGGGGGGGGGGGGTGGAGAAACCGCATATGTGATTCGCAAGTGATCAAACAAACAAGCACTCCCAGGACTTCAGAGTCTGAGGTCAGTGCAAGCGAGCAAAGGACTCGGAAGGCTCACGAGTCCCAGACAGCAGGGAACATCTTGAAAGGTCTGCTGACGCAATGGTGATGTTGAGCACCCTTCAATCAACCCAAAAGGAACCAAAGAGCAAGAGTAGACTCTCAGAATAGGGATTTGCACACGGCTAGAACACTAACTTATATCTGAACTCACCACTCTTTGCCTGTCCTTCCTTCTTCTTCTTGCCCACGCCCCCAACTGATCGAGGACTCTTCGCTCCTTCCAATTTCGTTTTCTTTGCACTGCCCTGCTTGTTCCCAGGGTGCTTTCTTTTAGAGGGGGACAAATGCCCCTCTGCCAGGCCCCCAGCAGCGGACCCCAACACCTCGGCACTAATCCCATCCGCACCTAGTTCCTCCAGGGGCACCTCTGCTACATTCTGATCCGCGCTTCTTTCCTCTTGCTCGCACTCCTCAGTCAATGGAACCAGCGCCACTCCGCTCTCCGTTTTGAGCACTGTTTGGCGGCCCTTTCCATGAATGGCACACAATTGCCCTATGAGGCTGCGCCGGGGCAAGTTCTCTTTCGCTTTCAGGACTAGCAGAAGGTAGCCTACGAGTTTGTTGTCCATCGTAACTAGAGGCGTGATCAGACTTCGTTTAGAGTCCTCTCCGTCCAAAAACCCAAGTGCACTTCCTAATCACTCACTTTGTGGCATTGCTTGGGCTGTCAGTATACGCTCTGAAGTAATCAACCAGCATTTCGTTACACTCTGCCCCAGTCCAAGTTACATGTGCAACTCCTTTGAACCAGTCCAGCGAGGACACTTAAGAGGATCAGAATTTATCTTGATGTGCTCTCAGCCACTTCGAAATGTATGGAAGGAGCATGATTCAAGTACCACTGTGCTGCCACCATCCCCAAACTCATTTGTTCACAGTGTGAAAGTTGCGCCACTGTTAGAGGCAAGCCGACATCTTCAGCAATGTTTCTTTGGCTCCTTGCATTGTAGTAGTATTTGTAGCTTGGGCCAATGCCAGAGACACAATTGTAACTTTCATGTATCGCAAGAAGGAACCTGACAATAGCCACGAAGCGCTCACTTTTTCGAAGCGCCCAATCAGACAATCCCAGGCACGCAAGGCGAACAAGCCCAGCTCCTGGTTGAGCTAAGGGCGCCAGCTCTGAGCACCTTTGACAAAGTCTGAAGAGTTTGTTGAAGCTACAGCGGCTCTAACACAGAGTCATTTTGACTTCCACCAACAAGCTTGCTCCGCGCCAGCACCACTTCTTGAGATCTGTGAAAACCTCTTCCGGATTTGAAGGACTATCCGGGGCAGGATCAGGCTCTCACCCTGGGCACAGATCTGAGCCTCGGAACAGAATGTCTTACATACCGTATACCGGAGACTGATTGCAGAGTGCATGGTCAGATCACCTAACCGAATTTTCCGCTTGACGACCGCTGTCAATATTAGCATCTGAAGTTGAAGAAAAAGGATCATGCATACATGCTGCATGAAACCCTAGCTTTCTGATTGCTGTCTAGAAAGACGAGATCTGACGCTGAGCGCAGCTAGCTAGCGTGGTGGAGGACGCCAATTGCTGGCCTGGGTGGACTAGGAGAAGCGCAGGAGCTCCCCAGACACGCCAGACAGCTCTGCCAGCTTGTCGGCGGGTAAGGAGGCAAGGATGAGCGCTGAATTGGGGTCTTGTAGCAGCAGATTTGTGCTCCCATCCAAGCAATTGCTTGCAAAGGTTCTGGTACTGGCAGACGGGTTTGCGATTGTGGAGACTACTGACGACCTGGTCACTAGCTGATCCTTGAGCCTATCAAATATCCTACAGAATGGAGTTTTGGGACTTGCATGGATTGTGCAGTACTTGAAGCAGAATTGAAGACCGTGACTGATGAAAGCCAGACCTTGCAGAAACCTGGAAAACTTTTGTCATGCTGCTGATGTTTTGTTCTCACATTCTGCAAGGGATGCAAGCATACCAATTCATGTTCTATTGTCTCAGATTTTGAAACAACTGCAGGCATGGATGAGGAGTACGATGTCATTGTGCTTGGCACGGGGCTGAAAGAATGCATCATCAGCGGCTTGCTCTCCGTCGATGGTCTCAAGGTACGAGTGCTTGCCGCAATTTTAGCATGTTAAATGACAAGCAAGAAGTGGAATGCACTAGCGAGGAGCTGGAGTGTTTAGGCTGACTACACCAGCACACTCAAAAAGATTCTTGTCTCATCGTGTGTAGTTACTCTAGAAACAACATGTAGATTATGGCTTTCAATCTGCATGCGAGTAATTTACATTTGCAAGGGTTTGGGACTTGGGACGTCGCCTTCTCTGAGGATCGTTGGTTTTGAAAGTAAAATCAAAATGAAGGGCGGATCGCCGCTGCTTGAGAAGTCGGCCCTGCGTCACTCGTAAAACCCTGAATGCAAGAAGCTTATGGTTGCAAAAGTGGTCAACTTTCGGGGTTTGTCATGGCGCACACTCACTGACGAGCTACTTTATTTGACACAGGTGTTGCACATGGATAGGAATGACTACTACGGCGGTGAATCTGCATCGCTCACCCTGAAGCAGGTCAGTCAGGACCCCAATATGTTTAGGGCATACGTAACTTCAGGATTGTGTGGCAGATGTGAAATGGCCCTCTATAGGTTGTTCAAAAAGCATCACCTCCGCAGACACCTGGGGACTTGTCTGTGCTGATGTTTGACCCCCAAACGTGTATCTCCCGTTACACCACTTCTGAAGGAAAGTTGTTATAAACTCCGCTCACCAAATTTCCAGCTGACAGCAGCATCGATTGCTCTGATCCATGCAGTTCTGGAAGAAGTTCAAGGGAGAGGATGAGCCTCCAGCGAGTTTGGGCTCTGCAAGGGATTACAACATTGACCTTGTTCCGAAGGTGAGGGGCTCTACGTATCCTTTTGTTGCAATCAATAGAGCCTGACAAGGAAAAGAAATGCTCCTACCTATCATGATTACCAACCTCTAGGGTAACTTACCCGTGGAAAGAGCTGTTCCTGTTGTCAACCACTTTCTCAAGCGCAGGTCGAATGACCATGCAGAAACTCCCAAGCCATGAAACTTGCGACTTTGCTACATTCATATATATTTGAGGAAGCAAAGGAACTTGTGTCCAAATCTCATCCTCTTAGGGTGGTGCTGCTTTGGAAAAAGTTATCTGTACCTCCTTGTGACCACTTATTTTTGACTGAATGATGTAGTGACTCTGTGCGGCGCTTCGAAGCCGCACGTGCTGCATGGTAAGAGGAGCAACTTATGGTCATGCTGGAAACCTTCAGTCAACAAAACTCAGCCTCCTGGAGTCCCAACTCTTCTGGAAACGATTTTCTCGCAGTTCATGATGGCCAATGGACAGCTTGTACGAGTCCTTATCCACACGGATGTCACCAAGTATCTGCAATTCAAGGCCGTTGATGGGAGCTACGTGCTAAACAAGGGGAAGGTAAGCGGTTGACTTATCTCAATGACAAAGTCTTGGAGCGCTCCATTCTGGCTAGGACTGAAGAAGTTTGTAAAGCATCCATGCCAAGATGGTCTGGTTGTCGAATGAAATTGTATGTAAACTTTCTAGGAAACTTCACAGAAGCCGTGTTCATCTTGTCTGGAATTGACGAAATAAACTGTATCAAAGATTAGCTGTTTACGCTAATTTTTTGGAAAGTTCTGGAAAGTCTGCTAATTGCGCCCTACGGTGCTCTCTATCCGCTCACCGGCCATCGAACCGAAAGGAAAGAGGTGCCCCCCAAAGCATGCTCTGTTCATCTGGTCAATTGAATTGTGTGGAGCTGCTAAGGGCTCGTCCTTGAGGCGAACTTATAGCACAGAGTCGGACCGCTTTGGCAAGGATTCAGAATTTGGATTTCAAAGGGTCCCTCTCATACTCTATTCTCCTCGTCTTATTATAATATGTGTTGCTTGCAGATCTACAAGGTCCCGGCTACTGATGTAGAGGCGCTGAAGTCGTCACTGCTGGGCTTCTTCGAGAAGTTCCGTGCAAAGAAGTTCTTCGTCTACGTGCAAGACTACGAAGAGAACGACCCCAAGACACATGATGGCCTTGACTTGCGGAAATTGACTGCAAGGGAGTTCTTCGAGTAAGTCAACAAGGAGCTCTTGTAACAAGCACTAACAAGTTATGCACACTCCTTAGCGAGTTTCTGAAAGCAGACTGGCTGCCAATTGCTCGCCTGCCTCTAGTTTTTTTTGCCTTGTCTAACTTCAAGGGGAATCTTAAATGGCTCTTTGTTGAAACACCAGAAGAATCGTGCTCTGGTTAGAACCAATCAATATAACCACTTATGGAACCAACCCTGCGCTCCTAAAGTGAAACGCTTTACCCTGCAGGAAGTATAGTCTGTCTGACGAGGTCATCCAGTTTGTTGGCCACGCTCTGGCGCTCTACCGGGACGAATCGTTCTACAACGCTCCTGCCTTGGACTTAGTCCTCAGGATGAAGGTACGGCTGCAGAGCACTGCATGCTTGCAATCAACACGGCATGCTTGGCTTTGGCGCTTTTGCAACGCGGTTGTGTTTTCAAGTGTCGTTTGCGCAAGAGCACCTGACCAGAAAGTTGTGCTTTTTGCCGCAAATCATTATGCTGTTCTTGATCTGCATGTTGCTTTGTGATATCACCAACCCTCACCATTTGAGTGCTTGATCAACCAACACAGTCTGGGACTTCTGCAGTCTCCAAATTTTTTGTCTTCTCCGAACCGTTCACGGCCTCGCTTCATTGAACCGGTGGATTTGCGGAATGGCTACTCTCCTGGTCTCTTGTGAAAAAGGTTTCATCTTCACCTGTAAGGGTCCTCAACTCTATGCAGTTATACGCTGAGTCCTTGCTGCGCTTCGGGGGCGGGTCGCCATACATCTACCCTCTGTATGGGCTGGGCGAGCTTCCGCAGGTAAGGAGTGGCGGCCCTTGGACATCCAATGTTCTTAGTTCTCTGCCTGACACTCATTGGTCAAATTTGTCACAGTTGTATTTTTCGTGAATTCTGCTTTGCACATACGCGACCTTTCATTAGACCGCTTTTTCTGATTTCCGCTTCGTCTCTCCAACTTTGCACGCTGTTTTGTTTCAGGGTTTTGCTCGCCTGAGCGCCGTCTATGGTGGAACGTACATGCTCGCAAAGCCAGACGCCAAGGTCGTGTTTGACGACAGTGGCAAGGCGATTGGCGTGAGCTCGGAGGGGGAGACGGCGAAGTGCAAAAAGGTCGTAGGGGACCCTAGCTACTTCCCGGGCAAGGTGAGCCTTCAACTTTGCCAGCTCGGCCTCGAAGCGTTTTCTGACACAAGAAAGGGCCGGGGTTTCAAGCCTGTTTGCAGTTTACGCTTCCCCCTTGTGCTTATGTCAAGCTTTTGCTGCGACTAGATTGATCCACCGAAAGTGACAACAACAGAAGCTGGACATAGGACACATAGACACACACAGAGCATCGGAATACGGTACCACTTGCAGCTGGCACATAAAGCGTGGAAGCTACTAAGAAGGGGTTACTATGATGCTTCTGTTATGCGCAACGCCCATATTTAGTTTCGATGTGCCAACCAGTTGGGAAGAAGAGGGCCACTTGTCAGCTGACATAGTCGTTCTGCAACAGATTGCGAAGAGTGGAAAGGTGGTGCGAGCAATCTGCATCATGAGCCACCCGGTCCCGAACACGAACGACTCGGCGTCCGTCCAGATTATCCTCCCGCAGAAACAGCTCAACAGGAAGTCCGACATGTAAGCTGGTTTTTCGTTGTGATTATTGAGCACGACCAAAGCTTGCTTCCGACGTCTGTACTGTCCCGAGATGCAGGCTTATGATCAATCCTCGGTATGATGCATCTTTTGGAAGGGTACATCTCAAGAAGTTACATCAACAAAATACGGTCATGCCACATTCTGCTTCGTCCGTGAGTTTGTTGGTGTGGAAGAATCAGTGTTTCCAAGTGCTTGGACAAGTCAAAGGTGAGGTAAATCAGGTCGAAAGGTCGCCCATACACTGGGGCCGTATTTTTCGGTTCGGTATTGGGTCAATCTTTTTTGCACATCAGAAGCCTCTGAAGTCCTTGAAGAACACTTCAAAAAGTCGCCAATTCGAAGAGGCGGACGGTGTTTGCTTGTCAATACCACTGGCGGCAGTCATTTATTTACGTAAAAAGCTTATGAGATCTCTCTTTGTACCACAGGTACATCTTCTGCTGTTCGTACAGCCACAACGTTGCTCCCAAGGGAAAGTACATTGCTTTCGTCACCACCACTGCAGAAACGGTGAGGACCGTCTCCGGTCAGACGACTCCTTGCCGCTTTCGTTATCGGCTCTGGGAGATCAGACCGCTCTGGATGCTTGGAACCTAGAAGACGTCTGGAAAGCTACTAGCATGGTCTATTGTCGTTAGACGAAAGCTAATTCAAAACTAGAGACTTCAAACGCTCCTCTAGCCCATCTGTTCGATAGGTTTTCTGAGGTGTCCAGGAGCAGAGGCATATGCCCTTCTGTTGTAATCATTTCAAGACAGCCTCGCTGGTCGTCCCCTTCGCTGACGTCATTGTCAGCTGCTCTAGGCTCCTCTGCTGACGTCATTCTTCTCAAATTGTCAGGACCGGCCGGAAGCTGAGCTGGCCCCCGGCTTGAAGCTGTTGGGGCAGGTGGACGAACAGATCTTCGACATTTACGACACGTACGAGCCGCTGGAGAGCGGGAGTCACGACAACTGCTACATCTCCAAGGTAGGTACAATGGTTGCGTTATTTGCTCCATGCAAGATCGGAAGGAATGCTTTTGATGTGCTTCAATGCTTTTTTCGGTGGCTTGTGAAGAGAGGGGTGGTCACTTTTTCAACTGCGAAAAGGGGTTTGGTTGATACACGTCTAAACGTGATACACGGAGAAATAATGAAAGGTCAGATTGATGGTCGACGTTCCACAGGAATCCTTGGCAGTTTGCACCTTGGAAGAGCAGTTGGAAATTGACATGCCTATCGATGTCAAGCTTGTGGTCAGTGGATACGCTGTTCGCTGTTACAAGGATGGATCCGATGCACTGGGTTCGCTTTTATAAACTCAACTCTATGAACAGGAGCAAGGCTTGTGTTGGTTGCGTTTTGACACATTACCACAATGGCTTGACTGAAAGACTTTGTCCCGACACATTTCTACGGTCGGTTGCTCCTTGAGAGATCTTTTTTCTGATTTGACACTGGCGCACATGCAGAGCTACGACCCGACGACCCACTTCGAAACCACTGTGGAGGATGTGCTGAGCATGTATACCAGGATTACTGGAAAGGTGGGCCTGGTGACGACGCTGTGTTTTGCAAACCGCGTTTTCAACAGATGTAAACCCTGCCGTTGCTCTTGCAAGAATCGTTCAAGGGCTTTGCTTTGCAACAGATGCGTGCTCAATAAACGTCAAACAAGTCGTTCCAAGTGTATGCTCTGCCGTAACCAATTGATTGAAGAACTCGATCTGTTCGCTGTCATAGCTGATGCAAACTGGGGTGCTTCTGGTTCGTGTGCAGATTCTGGATTTGAGCGAGAAAGATCTCAATCAAGCAAGCGCAGCAGACGAGTAAGCTGACGTTGCATTGTTTTCATCAGTGGTAAAGGCAGAGACAGTCTGGACAATATCGGTTGCAATCAACGACAGCTCACTCAACCCGCCATCATGGTGCTTGACTGGGGACTCCGGGTATGTATATAATCGTTGGAGTATGTTCTCTTGACTGCCATTCTCTTCATCGTTGCAATGTAAGTGCACTCCAATCATTCCAAATCTCGAGACTTCCTTTTTAACCAGCTAGGGAAGCCATCCAGTTTTTTGACTGGATTCACTGAGAGCAAAACGGTGAAGTACCCTTTGCATTGAGGTTGATAGGTTAATGCTATACATTCCACAAGCTCAGATATCCGTCTTGCATCAAGTCGTGCTGAGAGCCTCGGAGACTCATTGAGTTGGCGACAGCAGGTGGCAGATTCTACATTCACAAGCCGCCCTCCTTAGCATATGCTTGCACAAGACAACTGTCGTTTCCATCGAACGTCATGTTGCACTGCTCAACATTGAATGAGCGCTCGCGCGACCATTTTTCATGCAATGACAACAGCTCGCTAGCTTGCAAAAGTACCGGGCTCACATGCATGGCAGCATTGGCAAGGCGGCACCTGACAATCTGCTCTAATATTGCCCGCCCCACATCGATTGCATGCGCTGTCAGATGCTACATGCAATTGCAACCCTCTAGAATCATGAAGCGCAGTTAACAATGATTGTCTAGGTTTATGTGCTCTCGATCTCTAGAGGTCTCGCCAGAGATCTCTTGCCGGGAACGGAACCTAGCTGGAGTAGGTACCCGCCTACGCTTATTAGCTGCCTGAGGCACCGGCTTGCCGCCTTCAAACGCTCGGCCAAAGGGATCACTCCATGCAGACAGTACGTACCGTATGCAGGCAATGGCCGGTACACGATCCCGCAGCTGTACCATACCAAGTACTGACGGTTGCTGTTTGAACTTTGTTGTGTATCGGCCCGGCTGCGGTTCACTTTTGAGCTTGCGTGTGTCAGCAATCGTGTCAGAAAGCGGTTGCCAGAGCTCCACGTAAGAGGTTGTTGGCGCCAGGCTGCCGATGGCCGCCGTTTGGTCAAAGAGAGGCTTCAAGACCGTTCGATTTACCGTATGACGCGGAAGAGACAAAAGAGTACTTGTTGTTTCCTTGTACAAGCTGGTGCATGCCACATTCATGCAATGCCGCAAAAATGGTGATTTGAGGTTTCGAGCAAAACACCCCTGTTCGAAACTTGCAAGAAAGAGGGAGGAGACTTGGGATCTTGCATGCTGCAGGAAAGAGGAGTGTGTGCTGTCCAGGTTTCACTGCCATAGGCGACAGAAGAGTCCTTCACGGACGTACTGCTGGTCAATGCACCAAGCAGCAAGACCGCTTTGCCCATCTCCAGAACGAACGGACGCTGAAGGAACCTTTTGAGGTCCTCACACAAGGCGTGTTCCTTGGGTTTTGCAGGATAGGAGCCTGCATGTTTGCTGGTTTGACCTACAGAGCTTCAAACACAATAAGAAAGTGCATGCACGCTGCCACGCTTTAGTTGATTGAGGTGTTGCAATACAAGAGCAGCTGAAAGCAGCCGAAGGCAACAAAGGAAGCATCGCTTCTTCATTTAGAGCTATTGAGAGCTTTTCGCCGCTTGAGTTTTGTCCTTTGGACTAGATTTGAGCTAATGCAGGCGCTCACAGATCAGGCCAACAATTTTGCCAGTCACTTTGATCCCTAGTACATATTTGAAATCTTCAAAGAGTGGATGCGAACATGGCCGCGGTTAACTGCTTGCATAGACACCTGTTGACCGGAACGGTTGCTGCAGTTGCTTGGGGGGATGGCCACAGGGCACACCACCCCCATCGACAGGTCAAAGGAGCAACCCCACAATTTAAATCTTTGTGTAAATATTCTGGCTCCAGCCGATTGTCTTCGGGGGCCTCGGCTTTCGTTCGGCCTTCAAGGGGCCTAGATCAGCTGCGTATGGTCAGAGCAGTTCCGTATCCTGCATGTGAAAGTAGGAGGAGAACTTCTAGAATGCAGTACTCTGCCGAGGGGGGCAACCACTCTCTCGCTGCGCATGGGCCATCGGAAAGAGATCAAGAAGCTATGGTTCCTTCTGAGAAGTCTGCCAGCAAACAGGTGGGTTGGCTTGAGAAGGCAACATGATTCTGGCTGTATCTTAGAAACTTCTTTTGTCAAGTAGTCATGTAGGACGTGAGCCTCTTATTCCGGTCAAAATTGGATGATCAGCAATCCATGGCTGAAGCTACACTCTAGTTCATCTTTGCTGGATGGTTGTCAACATAGCAGATCAAAAGTTGTGGCAGCTCAGCAGATCAGGAATGATACACTTCAGGTGCAACAAGTTTGCATTGTCATTGAAGTCTCTGCTTCTTCTTTTTGAGTTGGAATCAAAGTTTTTGCTGACGTTGTCATCTGTTCCCTCGTGTGCTTCTAAGGTGCTGTTGAAAAATTGCAGTAATTCCACTTTGCAAATCAGTTTTGAGCTACATGTGGGAAAGTCACACAACACGATCAGTCCTCCTTTGACCTACCCTGTTGCCTTCTCACTGGTGATTAATTACACATCCAGCAAGCAGGTTCTTCCCCATGCTTATGCATGTCCATCCAGTAGTTTCTGGGGATGTTTGGCAGCAGATCAGACTCCCCACTCAGTGATTTTAACGCCTGCCAGATCTTTGTGTACAAGCTAGCAGCTCTCACTTCTTGACTCTGTGCCCCAGATTATTAGATTGTCGTGAGATTGTCCCTGAGTAGTGCTGCCTGTTTTTTCATTTACAGACTTTCCAGGCACAAGAATCAGCCCACCTTGGCTGATCTGATACGACGCTCAGCGTGGGGATCATTGTTCTTTCATTTCTTATTTTCTCCCAATACACTGATTGTGCTCGCTGGTCTTTGTACAATTTAGAAAAACAAATAGAATTCTAGATCTCCTCAAAAGTTGACATATCTGTCGCCTTTACTCTGGTTACAGGTTCGTGACGTGCAAGGACTGGTTTCGTTGAACGGAATCCTTCAAGGCGCCCTCATGGCGGCACTCCTGCAAGGAATTGTGGATCCTGCGGCTATCTTGGCGGCCTGTGTGCTTGGTTTGACTATCGTGAGTCGCCAGTCACGCGAATGCTTTTGAGAGCAGCCGATAATGATCTTAGTCGACAAAAGGATCAGGATGTGACAGGCGCCTTCCGCTTTTGTTTGTCGTGGCGCATTCAGTCCTGTCACATCAAGTGAAGGATTTTTCCTTAAAGATTCTTTGAAGTCATCAGTGCATTAGTAACAGCATAATCCTTGGTCTCATTATTTGTCGTGGAGGGCACTAAACCCGGAGAATAACTAGGCACTTTAACCAAGGTTACTCTATGTGACTTCTTTGCCAGACCATGGTGGACACCAAGGATATCCGAAGCATTCTCCAGAAGGCCAACTCCCTGGTTACATCGAGGACGCCATCCCAACAAGAGCTGCAAAGCATCATCAGGTGAGCTGCAATCAGAACTACGACAGGATTGTTTCCTGCTGGTTTGTGTGACCCTGAAGTAGATCTGGTTCCATATCCGCATCTGTTGTCTTATACATACGTTAGAGGCTTACGCTGAAGCTGTGCGTCGCAAAGTGGGAACATTTGCAGCGACCCTGTTGATTTCTCTTGTATGCGCGCAGATGGGGTCTTGATCATCCCATATCTTTGTCAACAAATACACTGCTTTGTGGCGCATGGATCGTTCAAAGAGGGTACTGCAGTTCTTGATTTGAACTCTCTTCATCATCTAGAACACCGGTTACCTGCTAAGTCTCTCATGCCATTACAAAACAATCTAGTACCGGACTGATTCAAAACTTGTCTTCTCAGAATCATCGGTGTTTCAGATCTTGAGGGAAGGGAATTGCTCTTGATTTATTCCCTCCTTTTCGCCAGCAATCTGGAGCGCCTCCTCCAAGAATCCCGGGCAGACCCCGACCCCGCAGTGGCGCTGCGGCACAAGAAGGAGCTGGAGGCCGCCATGAGCGTCCTTCTCCAAAGCAACAGCGCCGCCCTTCCTAGCAGCGACAGCACCAACAAGCGCATCACGGGGATCATTCACCAAGTCTTGGAACAACTAGGAAAGGGGCTCAACTCCGTGGAAGGTTCGCTTTCAGGTGCGCCAGCAAAGATAGCATCGTTGGATCTGAATTCTAGGATGCATTGCTGCACTCGATCAAGCAAATGCCTGGCGTTCTTTGATCTGTCTTCTCTTTTAAGTTCGAGGAACGAGCTGATGGTATAGCGACTGTGGACGTCAGGACCGTCCGTGACGTTTTCCTTCTTCTGTCTCACATGTCGACCAGTTTTAAATCACCCTTACCTGGTAGTCACTTTTGGCAACCGCCCCCAACTTTCGAATTGCTCTTCTCAAAAACTAGAACCTACAAATCCCTCTGCTCAGAGCGTTCTTCTTAACGTCGTCCCCGTCTTCCTTTTGCAGGCGACCAGCTGCAGACCGCCCTGGCCCCCGTGGTCGCCGCAGCAGCCGCCCGCTTCCAGCCCATGACGGACTCCCTCTCATCCAGCGCCAGCCAGATCCCCTCCATACCCACGCTACTCCGTTACGTTCTGAGCACGTTACCCCAGGTCGGGACTTCCGTATCGGACGAGATCACCACCTATGCGCCGCAGGACGAAAGCCTGCAAGAGGAGTGGGACTTCATTACGAAAGAGCGCAGGAAGAAGGCGGCAATCTATGTGCCGCTCGCGCTCTCAGCGCAGCTAAGCACCAGCCAGCCCATCAGCGTAAAGGTACGGTAAACAAAGCGAAGGGGTTGGACGAAAAGCTGGCCCGTCTCATTGAAAGGCAGATCATCACGGAGGGCTGTTGTATTTGTCTCTACGTTCAATGCCGAAGAGCGAAGATGTTGCATTTGCTGGCTTCATCTGGTCAAGAAGAGCTTTGTTAGCTTGATCGGCTTGGCTGTTCAGTCAGAAATAATTACTTGATGCATTTGTATCTCTCCCTTTTCCTGTCTTCGTTTTTGCGTTCGGTTTGATCTTTCCTGAGGCCGGTCATCATACCCCTTCCCCACCGTCAGGAGTCTGTTCAGACCTACGGATTGATGCGTTTCCGTCAAAATGAGGTCGCCACTGTCCCTGACGCGCGTTTCTCTAAGATCCCCGTTCAAAGTTCTGAAGCCTTTTCAAGATGAAGGGCTCAGTTGCCTCCGTTTCTTAAGCCAGGTGTACGACTCAACCTGGCTTACGTGCTCTTGCGTCCAGGTCCAAATGGCGCCACCGCCCTTCCTGACGTCCCTTTGAGATCCCCAGTTCCAAATGCTAATTGTTCCAGAAAACGAAGGACTCATTTGTGCCGTCCTTTTCTTATGCCAGGTTTACGACCAGACCTACGTGCTCTGGCGTCCGCGTCCGAATGAGGTCGCGTTCTTCCTGCCACGCGTCCTTCTGAAATCCCCATTTCAAAAGCTCATTGTCCCGATATACGAAGGGCTCATTTGTACCGTTCAGTTCGTGCGTCAGGTGTACGATCAGACCTACGTGCTTTTGTGTCCGCGTCCAAATGAGGCCGCCGGTCTTCCTGACGTCCCTATAAGATCCCCATACCAAATGCTAGTCGTTTCATGATACGAAGCGCTCATTTGTGCCGTCCACTTCTTACGTCAGGTGTACGACCAGACCTACGTGCTGTGGCGTCCGCGTCCAAATGAAGTTGCCGCCGTCCCCGACGCGTGCCCGCACCGCGGCGCGTCTCTATCGATGGGCTCGCTTGTGGGCACCGCAAAGGAGGGCAAGTGCGTCAAGTGCCCGTACCACGGCCTCGAGTTCAACGCCGCTGGCAGCTGCAACAAACCCAACATCTTCACGGACAGCCTCAATGTGAGGCAGCGGCAACTATCTTCTCTGAAAGGCCTTGCCTGCTTTGCTGTTTGTTTCTGCCTGTTTTTTTCTCTGTCTACCCTTTCCCTGTGCCCTTCATTTTGTGTGGCGTTCTCGATGCATGGTCGGAAACTCAACCTATTAGCACACGAGGCTTGGTTAATCGGCAAGTCAAGCAAGTAGTCGAAAATCTCAATTTCGTGCTGAAATTTGGGTGTTGAATTGGATCGTGTAAATTCAACATTTCCCAGAAAACTCGCACCGCGCAAATGTCAGGATTCCTGCAAAAGCTCTCGCCGGATTCTGATTCGGTTGGTAACGCTCAAGCAGCATTCAGATTCTTGGGAAAGGTACGACGAAGTTCGCAGTAGTCGTGCGGAGCTGACAGCAACCGGCTCAGGCAAGTCGAGGGCTGTCAGGATAGAAATAATGGGTAAAAGTAAGCATTGGCAATGAAGTTGACTGAGAGCATACGCGGAAAGGAAACAATGGAGCGGGAAAGTCAGTCAGAAGAAAAGGGGATCTGATTCGTTGTTCCATGTTGTTGCAGGTGGTGGAAGCGAATGGGCTGGTGTGGATGAAGGATGATCCCCTCACTCCGACCGATCTTCTGGAAAGTGACGCCGATGAGGTACGTCCCAGCTCTGAGATTTTAGAATTTCGCAGACTTTCTGCCAGGTCGATCCTGCGCCACTCTGGGAAGCATCTTATCAACAAACGCGCCCTCGTCTTTCAGCCTCGCACATTGTCTTTGCTCTGGCCTTTCCGCGATGTCAAAGTTCCGCACTTATTGCTAGGTCGACCTCGCGCCTTGTCTTAATTCTTTCCTTAAAGGATGCGCTTCCTCGTTTGGCCTCGCACACTTGTTCGCTTTAGCCTTCCTATACTGATCATGTTCGCGCTCTCAAATTGCCAGGTCGATCTAGCGCCATTCCTGAGGGGCTTCCACGAGGCCCTCGGGGCCCCCATCCCCGAGCAGAACTTCCTCGACGCCTACAGCGGCCAGGAGACGGAAGGGGGGTCGGATGAAGCAGGCGATGTGCCCCCCTTCAACGAGCACTTCGGCATCGGGGGGTTCCGCTCCATGGGCGGTTATGTCGACATCGCTGCCGCGCCGAAAGCTGTGGTCGATAACACGTTCGATCTGCACCACATGACGTACGTGCACAAGACGACATTCGGGGGCGGGGAGCTTATCCGCACGTGGAGGCCCGATGACTTCACCATCTGCTTTGAGTGAGTGCGCCCAAGGATCGGTGCTCTAGAGCTACTTTTTCTTGGCGCGTAAGGTGCTAGGGATGGCTTCGGCTTGGCATCGAAGAACGCAAGGGAAATGCTCAAAGAACGTGAGTGAGAACTTCTGGGCCCTCGTTGTTCGACTTATTGATCTCCTCTGCTAAGCTTTGCCGCCACAGGAAATGAGATGCGGGAAGTTCTTTCGATGGTCTCCTCTTCTTCGTCTAGCCGCATTTCTTTTTTACCTCCATTCATCCCGCCTCCACAGCAGGTCAGCATCGTGCAAGACGGAGCAACGCTCGGAACAATGCTCTGGAATCTCTCGATCCGACGGAACACCCTTTTGAATGTTCTCATTCCAGAACGCTTAGCAAACTCCCAACTCCCTATATACTCGCCGATACTCGCAAGTACTGTGCCTCCAGTCGGAGTGAATCGGCGAATCGGTCCTGCTGCCGCCACCTCGAATTTCTTGCTGCCGACTCCGTCCGTCTAGCTCGTTCCGTTTTTATCCGTCTGTTGCCTGACGTTCCAATGTCACATGGATTCGTCAAAACTTATTCCGTTCCGGCCGATGCGTTCCGTCCTGATATGTTCCGCCGCCTCTCCAGGTACGGCATGAGCCGCACCAACCCGTTCACGTCCTTTTTCGGCGACGGCCGCGTGCTGGTCAAGATGGAGCGGTCGCCGCCCTACTCGGCCATGGTCACTGTCGGCGACTCGCGGGATCGTGTGGTCATGAAGACGCTGACGCACGTCGTGCCCATGTCCGAAAATAGCAGCCGGCTTATTTGGCAGGTGCGTTGCGAAGATGTCGTCATAGTTCGCGGCTTTGAGAAAATGTTTGAGATTTTAAGAAGTGGAAGTCCACGTTAACTATTTTGAATTGCAGCTGGCTCATTTGGCAGGTGCGTTTGTTTTAGATTCTGATCTTCAAAGGGGGTTTCAGAGCTTGTGGAGTGAATGTCCAAGATCAGACTGTTTGAAGAGACTGACTGAGGTCTTTGGAGTCCCCGAGAAGCCAATCCTTCTGGAACAAGCGAGAAGCTTGGCTAGAGAAGCTTGGCTCGAGGTGACTGGAAGGTAACGGTCGGTGAAGGGAGATGCATTGTAGTGATCTTGACGAGTTTGGGCGGCATTTCGAGCTGAGTGCGCAGGAGAAGTTGCTGCTTGTGTGCCGCTTAAACCACGTCTCCTGGGGTTTCTTTAGGCCAGAAGTGGGGCATCAGATCAAAGGCGCACTCATCGACGATTGAAAGTACATTCGATTGATGAGGACGGATGACCCGATCTCACAAGGGAAACTATAATGACTTGTGCAAATATTTACCCGGGGCATTGTAGGGCGTGCTATCTGAGATGATTACAGGAGACTCGCTTTTTGGAGCAGGTGCAACTGAACCCGACCGTCCCACGTGTTGAAACGGGCTCCTCTGGCTCCCTTGGCTTCCCTCCTTTTTCCTTTCCCTTTCTTTCCCACATTGGTTTAAGTCCTGCCCACTTTGTGCAGTTGCTCCGCAACTTCGGCACTCTGCCAATCATGGACCCGGTATTCAAGTACTCCGTCCAACGGATCCTGAGTGAAGACCAGGCGGTGCTGGAAGGGGTCAATCTGAGCGGCGTCCGGGAGGGGATGGACTTGGGCATCTGATCACTTCGTTTACTAGAGCGCGCGTGTACATATTGTTCCGATGTATGTAATTCAAACTTGGGCGGTAGAAACGTGGGCGGTTCGGCGAGTAGTGGATTTTTAATATCGTACATAATAGTGTGAATATATAAGCGTGTGACTACAGTAGCTTGGGGATAAGAAGCATTGCACAGCATACTTGGTTCCTCAGGGCCGATATAAACGTGGTATAGGTCGAGTGCGTGGGCAAAAATGACGTAGCTTTTAGTGCCACAATCGGAGCAATAGAGGTGTTGGACCATCGCTAAATTTGCTGCAGACATGCAAGAACACGTGTCGTAAGATTCAAACATTGTGGTAGGCAGGTTTCGTCAAAGCGAGGTTAGTAAGTACAGTAGACTGTCGACGGCCATATATGCAGATCTCAGTGGTACCCATTACTGGTAAGGCTGTGCAAAGTTAACATAGTGGGGTGAGCTTGAAGAAGGTAAATTTGTTTTGAGACAGATGCAAGTGGTCGGTAGAATTCTGCGATTTGTTTGCAGCAGACATAATTGATTGCGAGTAACCATCGATTTCATCAACAGCGGCAGCGCTGCTGATAAAACGTTTTTATACTTGACTTCGTGACTGTGATCGATCATTTTGTACTACACCTCATTGCATCAGTCAATCAATATGATTGATTGTTGCGCCTCTTTGTCTGGCTAATAGTCGTAGCCTCATAGGACTCTCAGGCTATGACAAGTCGACGGTTGGGTCTGCATCTACCATGCTACAATAAATGTGCGGGTTCAATGATCGATTGCTGTGGGCGGGCTGCCGCGATTCGTGTGGGCGGGATCCGATCATCGGATCACAATCCGACACAATCAGAGCACACAACTCACGGCACACAGTTACTCGATCGGAATGACTCGAAACGACTCGACATGCACGATCAATTCCGGCATGCAGCGTGTCTATACTAGCTTTAATTGTGTTCCATCCCCCGGCCATGCAACCGCAAATAAACGCGCACGCGGCCCTTCAGATTGAATATTTTGATATGTGGCGCTCATTTACGTAGTTCAAATGATAACACCGTAACATAACTAGTCACAGTACGTCGATATCCTTGGCTGACTCTGATACGGTCACTCAATATAGAAGCTCAGGCTAGGCGGCTTGGAAAGTGAGTCATACGCTAGAAGGGAATCATTAGACATTCTTTGATATACGTGCGAAACGGTGGGTCGGCTATTGGTCACGGAGGGTAAACGTTCTATTTAAGCCCAACTTCCAAATTGATGTGATTCTCGGGTTTGAAAAGACCAGTGAAGCGCTCGAGAGGGGTCCGGCTAATGTAGGGGCCGTTTGATATACTCGGAACCGCACTTTTCTCAGAAGGGGAACGCTGAAGGGATGATAATGAGAATGACTCGAAGGGGTTGGCAGTTTCCTGACTGTATCTGACCCTATGTAGCTTAATCGGAGACACTGCAGCTTCCCATTGCGGGAAACTGCGACGCTCGATTGTGAGGCCTGCGTCTTCAGATCCAAAAGTTGCGTGTGAATATCCACTGGAACTTTCACTAGCTCTAAGGCTTATTTTCTACAGTCAAAAGGAGCGGCGTCACATCAGAAAGTGCATTGGTCATGTAGATGCAGATCAAAAACGCCCCTGGGTCCTCGTTTCAAGCAATTTACTCGTTGATTTCGAAGTTGTTCGTTTGACTAACAGCAAGAATCGAATTTTATTCGCAGCCGACCCTGTCCATTCTGGAGCTGGTTGACGTCAGCAACGGATCGCTGGGCCCTCAGCCCAACACTGGTAGCAAGTTTGGTGACATCACCTATTTCCGGTGAGCAGGCTGCCGCGGTTAAAGCATGACCATTCAAAGGCATCCCAAACATGACCATTCAACAAACAGAGGAAGAAATGAATAGAAAACCTAACGAACAAATGACTGAACGATGAGGTTTTGTTGGGCCCTTCGCTTTTCACAATGGGGTACCTCACAAGGCACGGCTGCAGTAGCCCGGTAGAAATCAGAGTGCCGCTTCGGATGGGCGTTGTTGAAGGTTTGTTTCAACCGGCGCCCATTTGCGCGATGATCGAATTCTCCAGGATCGCACGCGTAACATCAGCTGGGCATTCGTCATCTCTTTTGGTTCACGAGCCACGTGGACAACCGACAGAAGAGGAATCTAAAAGAAGATACGATCGCTTGGGAAAGCTCGAAATTGTGCCCGTTCAATAGGCGTGAACTCAGACTTCGAGGGTCCAGTTTGGAAAGCGGTTCAAGCTCTTTCTGCGGACACAAAAGTCAACAATGGGCGTCAGGTTTACACTTGGAACACGGAATCGGATGTCAGTATGACACCTCTGGATCGCTGCTACAAGAGGAATCAATTTTAGCTCGCCATGGCTGACTGTCATGGTCAACCACTTTCTACTTGAAGATATAATCACCGCTAGTCAAGGTCGACGCGTTCCCTTCCTTGATTGATATTCACTAACCCTGTCTGAACACTCAAAACCCTTGGCAAACCCGCGCTTAACGGATCTGTTCGGTACGACTATCGGCCACGCCAGCGGACTCTACCTCTTTAACCATACTTCTCCGCAAATAAGGCTCGTTTCCATACACATTTAACCCCGTGTCCTAACCCTGTTGCTGACCTCGACTAACCCATTTTTTCTCTTCGTAACCCAGCGCTGGTCTGACGCACTTGTCCGGCAAAACCATCGGCAACGCCAACGGGCTCAGTGCTTCTAATCGTACTTCGCAAACTAAGCTCAATCGTTCCCAAAACTTGTTTTCCCCTCGTTTGCTGACCCTGTTGCTGACCTCGACTAACCCGTTTTTCTCTTCGTAACCCAGCGCTGGCCTGACGGACCTGTCGGGCAACAGTATCGGCCACTTCAACGGGCTCTGCTTCTACGCAGCGCCTAACCCCGACTTCGAACAGCAGTGCACCGCGAGCATCTACTTCGACGGGACCAACGATGCGCTCAATGTTCAGGGCCCCTTCCGCTCTACCGTGAGATCAGACTTTGTTTCCGTTTCTCTTTGTCTTTGTCTTCATCTTTGCCTCTTTCTTCCCTCTTCATCCTCGTCTTTCTTTCTGTCTCTGTCTATGTCTTCTTGTTGTAGTCTTTGTCCTTGTCTGAGTCTTTGTCGTTGTCTAGCTTCTTACTTCTGCCGTTACTAGGTTCTGGCTCATGCTATTTATGCTTACTTTGCCTTGTTAGTTGTTGCCAATGTAAAGGTCAAACAGGAGCCCTTGGCGTGAAGCGTTCTTCCTTTTGCTATACACGGCCAGATTTTATTCTCGTTTCGGAGAGGTTCTTGACATATTATCCTCTTTAAGTGGGTCAGCTTACCGGATCCCTGACACGCGTCGACATCTCCACGATTGGAACTCATATTGTAGGGATACACGGGTCCTGTCACGTTCAATAACAACGTGGGGCGACTATTTTGGGGACGTATTCCTTAAGCTTGGAAGATAGACACATTGAATTGAATCAAAGTGAGTAGAGAAAGGACTCCGAAAGGGCTCCGAAAACGACAGAACGTACAGCCGAACGTAAGCTGCACGACTCTTGGGGTCGCCGAAATCTCGATACAATGTGGGTCTGCGGGGCGACCTCGACAGTGATACTCTGTTGTGCAAGTCGCCGGGGCAGATGCGTTCGCCCATGCAGCCCCTCTCAACGACATTGTATTTCCTACCGACGAATCAACATCCTCCAACCGAAATTGACACTAAACAATGTTCTGGTTCACGTTCTGTGCAGGCCACCCAGCTCGGTGTCAACTCGATCGACGGTCAAGATTCAGAGTGCCACAACGGCCCTATTGCACTTTAGGGTTTAAAAATTACTCTTGTAGTCGTGAACAGGCGGTCTGGTCTTCAGCGCGTGAAACAGATTTTCTTATTGCGCGAAACAGACTGTCTGTTTTCCATAGCGCGGGTCAAGAACTTCGATTTCCGGAAATCAGAACATCTGTTCAGTGTACCATGACTGACGGCCAACGGACATATTACTGCGATCTGCAGTATGATTGAGCTCATGGAGGACCTTGGCGTCTATGGCCCCGACGGGCCTGTAAGGGTCTAGGCCAAAGGCTCGGCCGTCCGAAACTCCTGGGCGAGTCATCTTCGTTTGTTATTGTCCAGGAAAAAAAGTCTGAAGTTTCGGACGGGGCCTTTTTTCGGACGCCACTACTATAAGAGACAGCACCTAGCCCCCTCTCCCATCATTCCCATCATTCCATCATTCTGCAATCTGACGTTCTTTGCAAACATGGCTTCTTCAGGCGCCCGCAATACGACCATCCAAGCTTCCAACGACTGCGTGGCGAACGCCATCCTCACTATCCTGGACCAAGAGCGAGAGATCAAGGACCCTTTCATGGTGGTCACATACGACAACAGCGCCGGTCTTACGAGGGCCGCCGTCTACACCTCACCCTTCTCCGTCTTGGTGCAAGATTTTCGAGGAACGCCGGATCAGCAGGATGTGCGAGAAGGCGTGCACCTCCTCAAAGACAGCGTGATGACGAATCTGCAGGTGAAGTATGTAGATTGCGACGAATACGTGTAGAGTCAGGGACAGAAGGTTATCTCGTACGAGGCAGCATCCTTGCAGACTCTTATCGAAGTAGGGTCATCGAAAGCGAAAGTGTAAGCATCCGGACAGAGGGTTTTGAAGTAGAGAGACCATTCGTTAGCAGGGCACTTCTCAGGAGTGTTGTTGTCGGCTCCCGTACAGCAATAAGGAGGCGTCCCGTACTTGGTGCAAGCACTCAGACAAGGAAAGCCGGTAGGATGTAAGAGTTCGCTAGGACATGCTGCTCTCGCATCGAACGCACACTCTATCGTGTCGCAATTTTCTGAGGATGGTGCGAACCTGATGCCCGTGTCGAATCCGTCTACTATGCTGATGTCGTAGTAATCGCCGCCCACGTCGTCCATGAAGAACTCGGCGATCGTGTGCGCGTACGGCTCACTCGAATCGTCCCAGATGCGACCTCCACAACCTTGTGGCACTACTATAGGTGCAGACCTCTCTCCGGGCTTCAGCTCTCTGGAGAGGGAGGTCGTCAGCATCCCTCGCGCCTCCTCTATACCCCACGAGATCTTCGTGTTGCAATTGTTATGAATGGTGATGACTCTACATGAAACATGTTGACTGAGGAAGATGACTGCGAGTGCGAGGATGAGCTTTGTCATACCAGATACATATAGGTGCAGGAATTCTTTTCTTCCGATGTATATATATCTCTAGGATGTTTCCACGGCCGACCAACCAACTGAGAAGGAACATCCCTGGTTTCGATCCAAGCCGCCGATATGGATACGTCCCGAAATGGCTAGAAGCAGGTATCAACGGATACGATGACAGAAGAATCATTCCAGAGGACGCGATCAGACCCGTTGAAACACTCTATGCGTGGGCGAGGGACGGTGAGAATGTCCTAAGCAGACCGGATGGTATTCCTGACTACCGTCAATCAGAGATTGTCACGTTGAGCCCCGAGCAGGTGGCAATGTTGCGCAGCCGTACGTCTTACGAGGACGAAGACCTATCCGAACGTTCCGTATCAGGTGACGAAAGTTCCAGATCTTCGCTTTCGTCGCGCCCAAACTGGTGGTGGTCGAGCGAGCGTCCTCTGGCGAGTAAGGTGCAGAGTGCACCCGCGACGCCATTCGGCGGAGCCTCTCGAGCCTGGTCGAGACCAGCAGTCTCGATGAGGCATTCGCAAGTCAAGAATCGTCCTTGGAACCCACCACCTTTAGCTCCCCTTTCGAATAGCTTGAGAAGGAAACTCGACGCCTTACCCCCTCCACGTTCCTTGGGTCAAGGGAGCCAGAGGCGGGTTTCCTATGATGGGAGCCCCCTCGTTTCGGCGCTGACCTCACTTTCCGTCTCAGCTACCTACGGTACCAACAGCCCACGCACTTCTCTAGGTGCGCGTTCCTCGGCTGGTGGAGGCGGCGCCGGTGGGAGAGGAGGGGTTGGTGGAGGCGGCGGAGGTGGTGGCGGCGGTGGCGTGGCCGTGGGCGGAGGCTTACTAGCACTGATGTCTGCGAGCACGAGGAAGAAAGCAGGAAAGAAGTCCAGCAAAAGAAAGACCGGGAGGAAAACTTAGAGATAGATACGGCTAGAGACTTTTCGCCCAAGTTAACATGTAAGAGACATTCCTCTTTGATGACCCAGTAAAGCGTCACCACGAAGAAATGTTTGAGGCCGAAAGAATGGAATCCTGTAGCATCGTTACTTCAGAACACGCATTCATATGATGTACATTCGCATGATGCACGTTGGAGATGAGAGAGTTGCAGAAAAATCAGGACGTCCAGCTGTATACTGCGTCTCTCTAGCGTCGTGCGCCCTGCCAGGATGTGCCCCCTGGGAGGGTGCGCCCCCTTGGGGCCCTCGTCCGTCAGGCTGCCAACAAGCGTGCGATTGCTGCGGACAGGTGTATCAAATACATCTTAGAAAAAAATCTTGGTCGTCCAAGGTTGTTGTGCTACGGTTTTAGGATTTTAGGGCTACGGTTTTCGAAGCCCTTTTGGCCCCTTCTCTTTCGCAATGGATCTTACGTACGTGTCCCTCATCGACTGTCTCTCTATCTCCCTCAACACTTGTCCTGCAAGGTCGTCCCCTAATGTGTCTTCGGAATTCTCTTCGATTCTGCGCAGGGTCTCGAGTGCCAACTCATCGTACCTTATCAATTCCACGAAGTGACCCTTCAACGTGTTGCATCTGCTACAAACCCAGGAAAAATTGCCCACATAAGTTTCAACCGCGACATCCGATCGGTCTATCTGAGGAAAGCTGCCCCACCCTCCGCACAGTCTGTTCCAATCGCACTGCATGTCGCAGATCGAGCACCTTCGCCCCTGACGCAACCAGGCAGCCATTGCCACCTCAGCCGCTAGTAGCCGTGGCGTCCTCCCGACAACGCTGCACCTTTCACTGCTGGCTTTGTTGCGATAGTCCACACTCTTCTGAACGAGCAAAGTCTCGTGCTCATCGGGAAAGAACTGCATATACAGGTTTTTCACCGACTCTAACACCTTGTTCATGTTCGGAAGCTGCTTCGTAAGCGTAGACAACGCCTTCAGGGATTCGTACGTCGGCAGGTTGACCTCCACCTGATCCCACTTGGCCAACTGGACAACCTTTGCAGTCTCCTTTGCATTTTCTTCCTCCTCTGCCTCTTCGGTTGCAGTCACGTTCCGGCAGTTCTCTTTCAGTTTCTCGAAAATCTCCGAAAGGGTCAGGCAGATGCCTTTGATTACTGGAATATGTTATAGTATGCACGGTATACACGTATGCGATATAGGCCTTTATCATGTATCATTATAATATGATATCAATATATTCCGATGATATCTGTTCCTATGAAGGTGTCCTGCGACGGAATGTCGAAATGTCTATGAGCAGTGCGATTCGCAATATCGACCATCAGGGTCGCTAGTCAATACGGAAACTAAATTGCGCTTCGGTGAGCCTTTCAATACGTATGATCCCAAAATCCCTTGTGTCTCGACGGAATTAATCGAGCGCTCCACTTATAGGGGCAATGAAGGTCGTATCGGTAAGATCGATATCGATAGCACTCTGACGCGTCCTGCTACGAAGCATCCTAAGGATATCAAGGAGAGGGGTCAGATAAACGAAAGATTCGGTACCATAAACCTCCTTCCTCCCACTGATATCAAGTATGGCCCTTGCTCTCTCTACGATCATATAGTGATCGAAAATCATGCTCGAGGAGGCGTGTCGACGCGAGTGGAAGAGAGAAACAAACAGTATGTCACGACTCGCCGAGTCCAGAGACCGGCTATCGACATGGGTAGAGTCCGGCCCTCCGCTACCGTGATAATCCGTTAGGCCGGTGCAAATATTTTGTTGTGATCAATGTAGTGATGGCGTTGAGGGAGAGCATTGACTATCAATTGCAACAGAGCCTCGCTCCGGGCCGTTATTTCATGGACAGGATCAATCACGCGCGGGATGCATGCCCTCTGGATACTACGGTTCCAGGCATCACATGCGATGCCATATTTCCACCGCATAGCTCGGAGCAGATCGACAGAGAGTCCATCATGCGGGGCATAACCAACCGCGCAGGACACGTTCTCAGAGCCAGTATCGTACCCAATTCGGCATTGCTGCGCGACACTGGGCCATTCGTCTTGCCACGAGGGGCATCGAAGGGAGTTCCGGCGCCCGAATCCAAGTTCAGGGGCTCGTTGAGAGGAGAGACGACCAGCTTGGACCTGAGCAGGATCGGGCCCCAGTGGGTGGTGGACGGGCACAACATCCAGAATCCAAAGTGCATCATGGAAGAGGATAACCAGTTCAGCCGCGCCGGTCTCTGGACCAGGAACCTATACAAGGACAGAGCTTCGGTGAAGACATGTCTGCACTAGACATCATGCAGTCGTCCGCATGAAGTCGGGTTCCGGTTCGAAGTCGACGTCATAGATGCGTCCCTGTTTCTTGTGAAGTCTGAAATTGCCGGGCGGCAGCAACACCTCCCGTTCTCCTACTACTTGGGATGCCGCGTTGCCGAGCCCGAACCAGACGCAGGGTGTTCCGGGCCTGATGTCCGACAAGTGCAGTCGCAAGGTGCGGTCTCCGAACGAAGCTGCGACGTCCTCGTCCCACGTCCACGAAGAGAAGGACCTTTCGTGGAATTTTCTGGTCGTTTCCAACGCACCTATCATCAGATTGACTCGGTCGGTGCCGCGGTAGAGGTACCGCCGTGTGAATCCTCTCGGGTGTCTGGGCGCACGCAGACCCGCTGCGAGGAAGTACCGCAGCATCGAGACGTAACGTGGGGGCTTATACTCCTTCCGGTAGAGTTCATCTCGCAGTTGCTCGTGCGCGTGCGACGAAGTCCACCACTCCGTCGCTCTCCGGTTATCCGCGAACTGACCCATGTTCCTTCCCCTCAGACGGGTCGTCATCTGTACGAATCCACTAGCGGGAGCGTGCAGCTCCTCGTGCCGGCGTTTAGAACGCTTGTCGAGCTCTAAGCCTCGCAGGGCAGCCACGAAAGATTGGTTGCCGAATGCGTCCACGATGGCCTTCCCAGCCGCGCGATCGGCCTTGGTCCAACCTGCACGTCTCACTGCACCTTCGAGCAGCGAAGCACCCGACAGGATGACTCTCTTGAGCCTTTCCGGTTGCTTCGACCGCCAAGAATCTAGCTCTTCGAGTGCCTCGAGTCTCTTGGGTAGACTCCCGACGTCCACGGGCTCTCCGTATGTCTGCTTCGCTGCGGTCCCCATAGCTTCTTCCAGGGATTCATCCGCGTCATACTCCCTATCTAGCATGTAGTCGAGTGCTTCGAAACCGCGTTCGTCTACGGCACGCTGGAGAAGATCCAACGGAGGTCTCAGTGCGAGAACGGCGTCGTACACTTCTTCGTCGGATATCATGCCGCTGTAACTTACGAGAGGAAAATATACTTGAGTAGCGTCGTGCA